ATTACACCCTTCTTAATACAAACGGGGTTAATCAGTAAGACCGAATTTCTAAAAAAAATTCTTAATTTGAAAATAGCAAGGGGTGCCTTTTGTATGTGCACTTGGAGGGTTGTTTGTAGACTATTTAAATATAATCAGTCAAAAAAGCAGATAGATTTGGGGCACTACAAAAGTTACACCTTTCTCCATACAAACGGGGTTAATCAGTAAGACCGAATTTCTAAAAAAAATTCTTAATTTGAAAATAGCAAGGGGTGACTTTTGTATGTGCACTTGGAGGGTTGTTTGTAGACTATTTAAACAAAATCGGTCAAAAAAGCAGATAGATTTGGGGCACTACAAAAGTTACACCCTTCTCAATACAAACAGGGTTAATCAGTAAGAACGAATTTCTAAAAAAAATTCTTAATTTGAAAATAGCAAGGGGTGACTTTTGTATGTGCACTTGGAGGGTTGTTTGTAGACTATTTAAACAAAATCAGTCAAAAAAGCAGATAGATTTGGGGCACTACAAAAATTACACCCTTCTTAATACAAACGGGGTTAATCAGTAAGACCGAATTTCTAAAAAAAATTCTTAATTTGAAAATAGCAAGGGGTGACTTTTGTATGTGCACTTGGAGGGTTGTTTGTAGACTATTTAAACGAAATCAGTCAAAAAAGCAGATAGATTTGGAGCACTACAAAAGTTACACCCTTCTCAATACAAACGGGGTTAATCAGTAAGACCGAATTTCTAAAAAAGTTCTTAATTTGAAAATAGCAAGGGTTGACTTTTATATGTCCACTTGGAGGGTTGTTTGTAGACTATTTAAACAAAATCAGTCAAAAAAGCAGATACATTTGGGGAACTACAAAAGTTACACCCTTCTCAATACAAACGGGGTTAATCAGTAAGACCGAATTTCTAAAAAAAATTCTTAATTTGAAAATAGCAAGGGGTGACTGTTGTATGTGCACTTGGAGGGTTGTTTGTAGACTATTTAAACGAAATCAGTCAAAAAAAGCAGATAGATTTGGAGGACTACAAAAGTTACACCCTTCTCAATACAAACGGGGTTAATCAGTAAGACCGAAATTCTAAAAAAGTTCTTAATTTGAAAATAGCAAGGGGTGACTTTTATATGTCCACTTGGAGGGTTGTTTGTAGACTATTTAAACAAAATCAGTCAAAAAAGCAGATACATTTGGGGCACTACTCAAGTTACACCCTTCTCAATACAAACGGGGTTAATCATCAGTAAGACCGAATTTCTAAAAAAAATTCTTAATTTGAAAATAGCAAGGGGTGACTTTTGTATGTGCACTTGGAGGGTTGTTTGTAGACTATTTAAACAAAATCAGTCAAAAAAGCAGATAGATTTGGGGCACTACAAAAGTTACACCCTTCTCAATACAAACGGGGTTAATCAGTAAGACCGAATTTCTAAAAAAAATTCTTAATTTGAAAATAGCAAGGGGTGACTTTTGTATGTGCACTTGGAGGGTTGTTTGTAGACTATTTAAACAAAATCAGTCAAAAAAGCAGATAGATTTGGGGCACTACAAAAGTTACACCCTTCTCCATACAAACGGGGTTAATCAGTAAGACCGAATTTCTAAAAAAAATTCTTAATTTGAAAATAACAAGGGGTGACTTTTGCATGTGCACTTGGAGGGTTGTTTGTAGACTATTTAAACAAAATCAGTCAAAGAAGCAGATAGATTTGGGGCACTACAAAAGTTACACCCTTCTCAATACAAACGGGGTTAATCAGTAAGACCGAATTTCTAAAAAAAATTCTTAATTTGAAAATAGCAAGGGGTGACTTTTGTATGTGCACTTGGAGGGTTGTTTGTAGACTATTTAAACAAAATCGGTCAAAAAAGCAGATAGATTTGGGGCACTACAAAAGTTACACCCTTCTCAATACAAACAGGGTTAATCAGTAAGAACGAATTTCTAAAAAAAATTCTTAATTTGAAAATAGCAAGGGGTGACTTTTGTATGTGCACTTGGAGGGTTGTTTGTAGACTATTTAAACAAAATCAGTCAAAAAAGCAGATAGATTTGGGGCACTACAAAAATTACACCCTTCTTAATACAAACGGGGTTAATCAGTAAGACCGAATTTCTAAAAAAAATTCTTAATTTGAAAATAGCAAGGGGTGACTTTTGTATGTGCACTTGGAGGGTTGTTTGTAGACTATTTAAACAAAATCACTCAAAAAACCCGATAGATTTTGGGCACTACAAAAATTACACCCTTCTTAATACAAACGGGGTTAATCAGTAAGACCGAATTTCTAAAAAAAATTCTTAATTTGAAAATAGCAAGGGGTGACTTTTGTATGTGCACTTGGAGGGTTGTTTGTAGACTATTTAAACAAAATCACTCAAAAAACCCGATAGATTTTGGGCACTACAAAAATTACACCCCTTTAATACAAACGGGGTTAATCAGTAAGACCGAATTTCTAAAAAAAATTCTTAATTTGAAAATAACAAGGGGTGACTTTTGTATGTGCACTTGGAGGGTTGTTTGTAGACTATTTAAACAAAATCAGTCAAAAAAGCAGATAGATTTGGGGCACTACAAAAGTTACACCCTTCTCCATACAAACGGGGTTAATCAGTAAGACCGAATTTCTAAAAAAAATTCTTAATTTGAAAATAACAAGGGGTGACTTTTGTATGTGCACTTGGAGGGTTGTTTGTAGACTATTTAAACAAAATCACTCAAAAAACCCGATAGATTTGGGGCACTACAAAAATTACACCCTTCTTAATACAAACGGGGTTAATCAGTAAGACCGAATTTCTAAAAAAAATTCTTAATTTGAAAATAGCAAGGGGTGACTTTTGTATGTGCATTTGGGGGATGTTTGTAGACTATTTAAACAAAATCACTCAAAAAACCCGATAGATTTGGGGCACTACAAAAATTACACCCTTCTTAATACAAACGGGGTTAATCAGTAAGACCGAATTTCTAAAAAAAATTCTTAATTTGAAAATAGCAAGGGGTGCCTTTTGTATGTGCACTTGGAGGGTTGTTTGTAGACTATTTAAATATAATCAGTCAAAAAAGCAGATAGATTTGGGGCACTACAAAAGTTACACCCTTCTCACTACTCACCGGGAGGGCTAGGGGTGTGGAATACCCCCCACTGTACGTAGTCCTTATGTCCGTTGTACCTATATAGGTAATTGCAGACTGACTTTTTCTGTTTCCTGGGTCGTGTTCCATACCCCCCACCCCCACATCCCTCGGTTCTACATCCTTCTATAGAAAAGTTACAGCCTTCTCCATACAAACGGGGTTAATCAGTAAGACCGAATTTCTAAAAAAAATTCTTAATTTGAAAATAACAAGGGGTGACTTTTGCATGTGCACTTGGAGGGTTGTTTGTAGACTATTTAAACAAAATCAGTCAAAGAAGCAGATAGATTTGGGGCACTACAAAAGTTACACCCTTCTCCATACAAACGGGGTTAATCAGTAAGACCGAATTTCTAAAAAAAATTCTTAATTTGAAAATAGCAAGGGGTGACTTTTGTATGTGCACTTGGAGGGTTGTTTGTAGACTATTTAAACAAAATCAGTCAAAAAAGCAGATAGATTTGGGGCACTACAAAAGTTACACCCTTCTCAATACAAACGGGGTTAATCGCAGTAAGACCGAATTTCTAAAAAAAATTCTTAATTTGAAAATAGCAAGGGGTGACTTTTGTATGTGCACTTGGAGGGTTGTCTGTAGAGTACTTAAACAAAATCACTCAAAAAACCCGATAGATTTTGGGCACTACAAAAATTACACCCTTCTTAATACAAACGGGGTTAATCAGTAAGACCGAATTTCTAAAAAAAATTCTTAATTTGAAAATAGCAAGGGGTGCCTTTTGTATGTGCACTTGGAGGGTTGTTTGTAGACTATTTAAATATAATCAGTCAAAAAAGCAGATAGATTTGGGGCACTACAAAAGTTACACCCTTCTCACTACTCACCGGGAGGGCTAGGGGTGTGGAATACCCCCCACTGTACGTAGTCCTTATGTCCGTTGTACCTATATAGGTAATTGCAGACTGACTTTTTCTGTTTCCTGGGTCGTGTTCCATACCCCCCACCCCCACATCCCTCGGTTCTACATGCTTCTATAGAAAAATGACACAAGAATCCTCGTTTTGATGGTGAACGTATCACCGGGAGGCCTGGGGAGTAAGAAATACCCCACAGTGTACGGAGGTCAGATGTCAGCTGTAGCTGAATTTGACGATTTGTATTCCCTGGAGGGTATTCTATACCCCCAGGCCCCCCTGTTTTGCATCCTCAGTCACAATAATCCGTAGGGCTAAATGTTTTGTGGGTGAACCAATCACCGAGGGGCCTAGGGGTATTCAATACCCCCCAGTGCATGTAGGTCTTATGTCAGATGTAGCTAAATTACCGAAGAAGCGACGTAGGTCTTAAAGAAAGTAAGAATTAGTGAAAGTATCGTCCGCGTGTCCAAGTACGAGAAGCGCTGTAGGTATCTGAATTCAAAAAAGAAAATCGCGAAAATAAACAGTTTTCTTCAAATACCCGTGCGTGTAAATTCGTACTGAGAGCTATCGCACACATTTCCGGGGTAGAAATCATTGTTAATGTAGCGTTTCGATTAATGAAAACTCCAATTTGAAAGCGAATTTTAGGAGACCTTATAATAACTCGTATTGTGAAGGCAGAGAGTTGGTTTAAATGCAGTCCAGATGAATTGAAAGTTCATTGTCCAATCAATTCCATACCACAACAGGCAATAGCACGAGGAAAATTCGGTAAACTTCAACGGAGATCCCATATTTCGTCCCTGTTTTGTCCAGCGTTAAGGGCAACCATCGTTTTTTGAAAACGCTATAAGGAAGGTAAGGGGAATTTTTTTTATTTGTGTAAAAACTTTTAAGAAGTTGTGTTGACATTTGTGTGATAGTTCCAAAAAAGAATGGAGTATATTATGATAGTGTTAGGGATAGATTCAATGCTCATTTTCCTACTACGTCTGTAAAATCATTCACTGACTCTTTATCAAATCTGCAGCCTTTTCGCCCACCATCATCGAGGGGGGCGTTGGTGTGACCCGACGTACTCAAAGGGAACACGCTAGCATCGGCGACGCGTAAATTTGAAACGCCAAAGACTTTCAGCTGAGGGCTAACCACCGCCCCTCTCGACGGATGCGTGCCCATCTTACACGTTCCAGTGGGATGAAAGATTGCCGTGCTAAAGTGCCTAATAAAGCAATGCCAGTAGTCTCTGGTCAGGTACTGAAAGCTTTTACACGCGGGCAAATGCTCGTACTTCAACCTCGTGTCAAGCTTTCGGAAGGGAGGTGTGTCGACCATTTCTAGAATCATCTTGATCCCCTCGTAAAGCACGTCGATGTCTTCGTCTTTGGGATCGGATAGCCAGTTGGGGTTGATGATGGGGTAGTCGAAGGGGTTTTTCGATTTCAGTCGGAGATATCCGCACGATTTGGGATGTAGGAGTACGCCGATCATGGAGAATTCGCTCTGTGGATTTCGATTTGCCGCTATAAGCTCCTCTCGGGTATTCCAAAACTTGGCAGTCACCTCACTGGAGCTGATCGACGGGATCATTAAAGCCTCAAAGTCTGGTACTCCGGGCGTTTTGGCGTTTTTCGTCTGCATAAATACGACCACTGGTACGTTGAAAGCGTTAATTAACACTCCCGTTCCGTTCAGGTAATCCTCAACGTTCTTTTCCAAACTGTTGACCTGCTCTGTGTGGTTAGTTGCGAAGTTCAAGTTGAAAAAGGAGGTGTGGTCTAAGAGTTGTTCTCCTACGGGTAGGTCTTGTATAACGTCTATTCCTAAGCGCTGCAGTTGTTCTCTGGGTCCAATATCAGACAGCATTAGCAATTGAGGTGAACCAAACGCTCCGGCTGATATCACGACATCCTGACGCGATTTTGCCAGGTACGTGTGGCCATCTTTAGTAAACCGCACCCCAACGGCTCGCTTTCGTTCATCAATTTCAATCTTGGTAGCGTAACTGTGCGTCAGTACCTTCAGATTTGTCCTGTTTTTGACTGGCAACAAAAAAGCGTGGCCACTACTCGCTCTTTTTCCACGGTCAATATTCAGCTGAACTCTTCCGTAGCCGAGCTGCTCTTCCCCATTGTAAAAATTCCAAAAATTATTGCTGGGGGCGGGGGGAGGTGCAACCAGTATATTAACATCTTATAATATTTGTAAGTAAATGAACATTAAAACAACCTTCCCTACAACTATCGTGCTAGGTTTGTGGCTTGGGGGGTTATTCCATACCTCCCAGACACGTTCGGCTTTAACACGATCTCTTCTAACAACTTGTAGTCTTTCACAAAGGACAGTCCAGAGGAGCGTTCCTTACGCCACAGACTTCTGACGTTACGTTCCATAATATCTTCTTAAAAATGACAGAGTAGGTGCTAAGGGCACTGAACATTTTGGTGGAGAATGTAGAGATCGGGGAGGGGGCTGAGGGGTACGAAATACCCCCCAGTATCGCAAAGACCTTACTATAATTGTATGGAAATGAACATTGAGCCCTTCCCAAGAACTATCGTGCTATGGTCGTGTGCTGGAGGGCATTCCATACCTCCCAGACCCCCCGGTACCACATTCTACACCAAAGTGTTCAGTTCCCTGCTCCTGGGGTTACATTCGCTAATCTTTTAATCACCTTCCAGAAATTATTGTGTAGATGCAAGGGCACACTGAACATTTTGGAGGAGTATTGCGAAGATCTTAAGATAATTGCAATGAAATGATCCTTTCTTAGAACTATTGTAATATGGTCGTTGACTGCGGAGTATTGAATAGGTACCCCCCCCCCCAGTAGTACGGTCTCCCTCAACTCGATTTCTCCATAACAACTTATGTCATAGTCTTTCGTAAAGGACCGTTCAATCTTCCGACCCTGATATTAGTATTCCTTCCCCCACACAGACTTCAGGGATTTCGTTCCCTTAGTTTTTTCCGAAAAATTGTAGGGTAGGTTAAGGGCACTAAACACTTTGGAGAAGAAGAATGTACAACCACCAGTATTGCGAAGATCTTACGATAATTGTAAGGAATTGAACATTGAATTCCTACCTAGAACTATTTTAATATGGTCGTGTGCTGGGGGGTTACGTTCCCGTAGTTCCTTCCAAAACATTATAAGGGTATGGCCAATGGCACTGAACAATTTGAAGGAGGAGAATGTGCAACGGGGGGCTGGGAGGTATAGAATACCCCTCAGTATAGTCTTTCTGATGAAGATTGATATCTTCCGTTCCTGAGGAGTGTTACTTACCCCACATACTTTTATGGTAGGGTATTCCACACCCCCTAGACCCCCCGCTTCTTCATTCTCCTTCAAAATGTTCAGTGCCCTTAGCCTATATACACCATAACTTATCGAAAGGAACAAAGAGAACGTCACCACAGAAGTCAGGTCGGTAAGGAATACTAATCAGGATCGGAAAATCGGACGGTCCTTTATTAAAGACCTTTCAATATTTACGTTCCTGACGAGTATTCCTTACCGTACACGCTCCTGAGGTTACATATTTGCTAGTCCATTTATCACCTTATTGCGTAAGCGCAAGAGTACTGAATGGAGCCCCCAGGGTATGGAATACCCCAAAGACCCCTCGGTGCTATATTCTCCATCAAAACGCTCGTATCGTGATATTTTTTCATAAAGGATTGTCCAATCCTTCTTTCGTGACGATTATTCTACTATGACCATAAAGCTCTTGGTGTTACGATCGATAGTTTTGTCTAAAATTATGATGTAAGTGCTAAGGATACTAAACGTTTTGAGGAAGGATCTAAAGGCGGAGGAAGAATCTCCGATATTCGAATATCCTATGATATGATAAGTTTTTCCCTACAACTACCTGAATGTCGTCGTGTGCTGGTTAGTTCTCCCTCAACACGTTCAGCGCTAAGGGGCAACAGATAATCACCCCACGAAGTCCTTAAGGTCGGCGGGTACCTTTTTTCCCTGTCGGTGGTTTGGTCGAGAGGACCTCTGTCCACATTTGGAGGAGAAAGGAGTGGCCATATACTATTTGTGGTACGTTCAGAGGGTGGAGTTGGACCAGTTCGAACCACTCTGACTTTCCTTTTCTGCTCAGTTGGTTTTCAGTTTGGGTTTTTTTAGGTTCGGGAAGCTCCATTTGAGTTTGATGTGTCCTGAAATTCGTCCTCTGGATATTTAAAATTGCTACAACGACTCGATGCCACAACGCGGACCCCCAGGAAGAGACTCCAAAGCGACCAGAAGCATATAGTTCACGTAGGTGTCGTTTGAAAAAAAAAACGGCATAGGGACCCTAGCGTTAGGCTACCCAATTGCATTACTTGAATTCGCCTAATCTGACTTTTTTATTTACGTTCGGCAACACTGCTTTTAATCATTTGAAGCTGCTGGAAGTGTCAAGGTGAAGTACCTAACCCTACTTTATTGTTGATTTTGAATTTGTATAAAATGGAATTAATTATAAGAATAGCACGAGTTTCCAAATTGTGGCCCCCTCCAATAAAGAAATCGGTGTGTTTTTGTAAATTTATGTCGACATCGAAGGACACCGATACATCTACGGATTCGAACTCGAAAGACCTGGTAAAGGAGGTCGACATTGCCACCAAAGTAGCCCGAACGAAGGAGACTACAAAGAAAGACCTCCAATATCGCACGACGTGGCACGCGAAGGAGGGCTACTACTACAATTTCTTACGCTCGTTCTACTCCGAGGAAAGCAACGCATCGTTGCTCAAGCTGCTCCAGACCCCCATTAACCTATCGCCGGAATCCGTCCGTAAATGGTGGCTCAGACGGAAGGAACGCGAGAACATCTTCCTCCAGCAGTACCTGCCCGAGCGAAATCAAACTTTGGGCAACGAACTAGCGGCGGCCCACTTCATCGTGTACCGAGGCGGCGCCGTCAAGTTCTACGACGACGACGTCTGGATCAAGGCGAACGAGTACAACCAGTACAGCCTGCCGAAGTTCTACGACTCGGAGAGGGTGCTCGAGGCGATCGACTGCACCGACATGAACCTGTACTACGAGGGACTAGTCAATCTGGCAAACCTGCAGAGGGTGGAGTGGTTCAGCGTGAACGGTTGTCAGCATTTGGACGATTGGAGTTTGGATCGTATTACGAATATATTTAGCGAGACGCTAGTGTACTTAGACATTAGGGATTGCCCTAGGATTACGGTTCGCGGGTTGTGCTCGTTGTACAAGATGAGAAATTTGAAAATTTTGCTCGTCAGCGAGCTGATAACGCCGAAGGCTTTCGAATTGAGTTGCATGTTGCTGCAGGATATCCTGCCCGATTTAGATATACGTGTTGATTAGTATTCTCTGATGGTTTCCGTTAATAAAATGTGAGTTCCTAAAGTGTCTGATAAATAATGCAAGGATTGAGCCCCGAGTCGAAGCCTGCTTCGGCCAGGGGCAGAATCCCTTCATATGGTCCTTGCTAGGTTTCCTCAGTTTATTATTAATTATCCCTTAAGTTACCATTCACAAAAAATTGGTATAAATTTTTTCGTCACCCTGTATGTTGTACAGCTGGCACAACAACCACATCCACGACGCTAAACGAAAACGAGAGGTGGATGTGTCGCGTATCTTTGTGGTATTCGTTTATAAAAAACTCAAAAAGCATTTTTGTTTACTTTTTGACTATCTACGCAGATTTACAGTAAGGAGGAGTCGTCTATGAGGAGACTACGAGTAGTTTCCAATATGTCATCGGAAGGGCATCACAACAGAGAAGAGGCAAGTTTCAACTTGTATGGAGATGATGCTGAGTTTGCAAAATTTGTTGGAGAGCATGATTTGCTGTTCGACGAGCTGCTGGTTGGAAACTACGAGTACGGAGATGGAAATGTGGAAGGAAAAGTACAAGCCGAACAACCCGGACAAGATTTGTCAGTCTGCAGTGCGACAAAATCGAGTCAAAGACATTTAACTTGTGGCCATTGTGGCTATTTTTCATCGAACAAAATCGATTTTCAAAGGCATTTAAGTCGGCACTCGGTGCAACGTGCCAGTCAGAGGGTGAAAGAGATCCGGATTCACAAGGACTTGGGGGAGTATAAGTGCGCCGAGTGCGATTTCACGACCACCACAATGAAGTGCTTAACGCAACACGTTGCTGTACACAAACGAATAGTGATCAAAATGAACCTCGATTTGAATACTTACAAATGTAAACAGTGCAAATTTACGACAAGGCACTGGAAGGATTTTAAATTACACATTCCGAAACACGACGCATTAAACGTATACAAATGTGACCTGTGCGATTTCGTGACAAAGTGGAGGCAAAACCTGAAACCGCACGTCGACACCCACGACACGGCGGTCAAGTACAAATGCGACCGGTGCGCTTACACGACGAAGCTGAAGCGGTACCTAACGCAGCACTACCAACAGCACGACTCCTTAAAGCGGTATAAGTGTCGCCTGTGCAGGTTCTCGACAAACTGGAGCAAGCATTTGAAGCAGCACGTCGAAGTGCACAACTCGTCGAAGGCCTACCAGTGCGATGAGTGCGGTTTTACGACGAATTCCAGGCGAAATTTGATAATACACTTTAAAAAGTACGGCACACGGCACACTAAGTGAGTGTTTCGGTGTAGTTTTGATTTTCTTTTGTTGTCTCTTTATATTATCAGCGCCAGAATCGAAATAAATTGTTGCTTTTTCGTCTGTCTGTCTGTCTGTCTGAAAATAAATATGAGACATCTTTCCCCCGATGTTTTTTGAAAGAATAATTTATATCAGATTGCAAGGGTGTAGCACAAGTCTTCTAATGCCTTTTAGGGTGTCTAAAATCACCTTTAAAAATTCTCTATACACGGTGTTACAAAAATTGTGGACTTGAAAAAGTTTAAATACACTGGAGCCATGAGAACCATGGAGGCACTTTTATAACTAAGAGCCTTTACACTTTGCTGTGGAGGCAGAGGCGTAGAAGACTTCTATAGGGAAATGATTGGGGTGAGTGGAAGAATCGAGGCGAGGCGAGTGCACTGCGACCTTTTGGTCTATTGTCCACCCTTCAGGATACCTGTATATCTTTATCAAAGTACAGGGGAAATCTTTAGGCTTCAGAACGCTCGTTTTCCATTTGAGCATTCTCTCAGGTCGTCCTTCCATTTAAGTTATTGACGTCAGGACCGGCTCTGACGAAGGGTTTCCTGCTATCGTTTTTTAGGGTATAGGTTAGGTACTAGCTGTCTCCATCCACGTTAATACGGATTACTCTGTAGCGATAAAAATAACTTAAACTACGTTTACACTATTTATAAGGCCGCTTATTAAAAATTGATACGCGGACAACTGTTCTCCCCTCACTCATTAGAAATAAAAAATCTCCCCAGTGCTCCCCCTTCAGTGAAAACGGTAAACAAATGTGCATTGTTATGAACACCCTGTATACAACATGGATTTTAGAAATCCCAATCCTTGCCCCTTGCCCCTTGAACCCCTTCCAATCTAACCTCTTCGTGCTGCATCTGACTTCAATAGTTCAATTTCGAAATTATGTACAAGGTTTTTCAAAATAAACCAATGGTAATCACTCGCAGAGGTTAAAACAAAAGAAACCAATGACGTCATTTATCTCTATCCAATAATTAATCTTTTTCGAACGTGTTCATTAATCGAGAATTCGAGACACGTCAGTTTCTCCACAGTTTTTAGCGTATGAATTTGGACGAAGTGAAAGTAAAGTCGAGTGAAAGTGCAAAAAAATGAAGTCGAGTTTAATAGGAATCTTTTTATTAAGCTCAATATGGCAAGGCTGCGTCGCACCACCTGTTACGAAGAACGAAGAGTCCCCGAGTCCGGAGACCGTGGAGCTGCTGATGCACTACCAGCACTACCTGCAGGAAGTCGTGAACGCCTTGGAGAAGGACCCCGAATTTAAAAAGAAGCTCGACAGCGCCGACCAAGAGGACATCAAATCGGGCAAGATAGCGACCGAGCTCCACTTCGTGTCGCACCACGTACGAACGCAGCTCGACGAGCTCAAACGCAAGGAGCTGGACAGGTTGAGGACCCTCAACCGGCAGCAGCACGAGCTGACCGAAAACGACGTCGGCGACGACCCGAGTCACGGGCATCTGGACCGATCGAATCCGCACACCTTTGAGGTGGCCGACCTGAAGAAACTGATCGCGAAGACCATGGAGACGTTGGAGGAGCACGATCGAAAACGACGCGCCGAGTTCAAGGAGTACGAGCTGCAGAAGGAGTACGAGAAGTTCGAGAAGCTGAATCATACCAACGGGGCCGAGCACGAGAAACTTGAGAAGGAATACAAGGTAGGGTAGATATTTCGGGCCCCATACATTTTGTAACAGACCGTACAAAAGACCCTGGTGTATTTTTTGATGTTTTGAAAGAAAGTTTTGATAGTCCGATTATCTTTGAAGTCTCCATAATCTCCGAAGAGATAGTGCCCACTTCATTTGAAGTTGGGTATGCATTTTCAGTTTACTTGCACCCGGGGTTCGGAAAAATTATAATCAAAAAGGCTTTCAAAATGGAAAAATCTAGGATGATTTAAACTGTCTCATACTTATTTTTTCGGGCAGACCATCCGGACGCCACTGTCAGGAGTTGAGGTCATTGGAGACCATGTAAGTATGGGTGAAACTGATTTGTGGTTTGCAAAAATCCCATTTTTCATAATATATTGGGTCGTTGTTGCTTTATTAACTAGTCCCTACTTTACACCCCCCTTCCCCCTCTCCAACCTGTCATCTTCAGACCACAAAGTTTACTCTGAATTCTTATGCATGAGGTGACACTCTTTGGTGGGAGTTGAAAATATTGCTCGGGTTTGGGTAAGGGGGGGGGGGGGGTTGCACACGTATGCATGAGATTTTTGTCAAAAACACTTCCGTGCACCATTTCTGTTGTTTCTGGATGCAATATAATCAGTGGTAGGACCAGAGAATGGATATTTTTTCACTAAATTACAGGGTGTCCCATTTTTGACACTTTGATAGGGTACGTCTTTAGTGCTATCAAAAAGAAATATAGGCTTTTGGGTCAAAATCAAAATTTGAAAATATTCGTTGGCTTAAGAGATATCCTATATGCTATATTTTCTTAGTTAAAAGAGATGCAGAAAAATGTTTATTACAAAAGTTTGTTTATAATGCCTCCTGTCAGTTGTTTTCAAAATCAAATATCAGGTATATCAGCTAAAAAAATTGTCTGACCGAACCTCATTTTTTTATGGAACACCCACAGATCTAAAGAAAAAAAGAGGTCAGTGGGAACACCCTGTATAATTTAAACTAAAAATATAACAGGCGAGTCTCTTTTCAAAAATATAGGTAAACAAAAAGTTCAAAAATCCATATTGATTCAAAATATAATATACATTTTTTCGAATATTTTGAACCTTTTTTAATGTTTTTGGATCTTTTTTTGAATTTTTTATTTACTTGAAGGTTTTTTGAATATTATCCCTCGTGTGTTATATTTTTCAGACTAAGAATTCTAAGGAATATAAGGCTTCTAAAGATCGCAAGGGTTCAAAGACCTCCAATAATCCTGAAAAACCTGCAGAAAAGGTCATACAAAAAAGAAACTTCTTCCAAAAATACCTCCCTCAATAAACCTAACTTGAATCTTTTTTGGATATCATCCCTCGTGTGTTGTTATATTTTTGAAAGGAGTATTTTAATGCTAGCTTTTTATATTAAAATATACAGGGTGTCCCATTTTCGACACTTTGATAGGGCACGTCTTTAGTGCTATCAAAAAGGAATGAGGAATGAGTGTTGAGTCAAACTTAAAATGGTAAATATCAAAATTTGAAAATGTTCGTCTTCTTAAGAGATATGCTATTGCTATATTTTCTTTGTTAAAAGGAATGCAGAAAAATGTTTATTACAAAAGTTTGTTTATAACGCCTCCTGTCAGTTGTTTTCAAAATCAAATATCAGGTATATCAGGTAAGAAAATTGTCTCACCTAACCTCATTTTTTTATGAAACACCCACAGATCTAAATAAAAAAAGATCAGCGGGAACACCCTGTATAATTTAAACTAAAAATATAACAGGTGAATCTCTTTTCAAAAATATAAAGAAAAAGTTAAAAAAAGTATTATTTATTCAATAAAGATTTTAAAAAATACAGAAAAATGTAATATACATTTTTTGAATTATTTGAACCTTTTTTTAAAATGTTTTTGGATCTTTTTTGAATTTTTTATTTACTTGAATCTTTTTTAATATTATCCCTCTCGTGTGTTATATTTTTCTAAGCATAATTTAATGTTAAAATATACAGTGTTTCATTTAGAAAAATTGGGTTAGATCCGAATAACGTTTTTTAATCAGACTAAGGATTCTAAGAATTCTAAGCATTCCAAGGATTATAAGGCTTCTAAAGATCCCAAGGATCCTAAGAGTTCAAAGACCTCTTATAATCCTCATAAAACAATCTGCAAAAAAGGTCATACAAAAAAAACTTCCTAAATACCTCCCTCAAAAACCCCCCAAAAAACCTAACTTGAATCTTTTTTGGATATCATCCTTGGTGTGTTGTTATATTTTTGAAAGGATTATATAATATGCTATCTTATTAAATTATACAGGGTGTTCCATTTAAAAAGATGAGGTTCGCCAGACTCGTTATGCTTATTTTCTGTGTCATACTTATTTTTTCGGACAGACCACCCGGAGGCAACTGTCCGGAGTTGAGGTCATAGGAGACCATGTAAGTATGGGTGAAAATGGTGTGTGGTTTTGCAAAAATCCCATTTTTCATAAACTTGCAATATATTGGGTTGTCATTGTTTTATTAACCAGCGGATTCCGTTCTTTAGATCCCCCCTCCCCCTCTCATCTTAATACTACAAAGTTTACTCTTCTTAGATTATTTTCTCTTTGATTCAAGAATGCATGAGGCTGCATGATATCGTTGGTCCGAGTTGAAAATATTACTCGTGATGTGAGAGGGGGGAGGGTTTTGTTGCACATCTATGCACTAGTATTTTTTTGAATTTCATCCCTGTTGTGTTATATTTTTGAAAAGAGAATTTAAGATGTTGTCTTTTTAGATTAAAATATACAGGGTGTTCCATTAAAAAAAATTAGGTGAGATACTTTTTAAAACAGCATATTATTCAACAATGATATATAAAGAAACTATTGTATCAAACATTTTTCTGTATCTTTTAACTAAAAAAAATATATGGTCATTCTGCAGTAGACAGTTTTTTTTTTAATTTTTCCCCATATTTTTTAGCGAACGAATATTTTCATTTTACCATTTTTCAAAGACTTTTTCTTTATAGCACTTACAATTACAGAGTGTCGAAAATGGGACACCCTGTACATAACTATTTCCAAAAAATGTAAACATGAGAACACAATACGCGAGGAGATAAATTGCACACCACGTTTGCGTTTGTGTGATTCTACTACAACAGTTTTGTATCAGGGGAACATGCGCCAGAAGGTTGTATGATAACACCGTCTACTTTTGAAATTTACAGTAGGAGACCGTTTTAGAAACTTCGAAGTCTTGTATCAGGAGATTATAATGTGGAAGGAGATGTTTTTCTCCTAATACCAGGCAGCTAGCAGGAGAACACGATGGCCAAAGGAGGTCTTTTCCAATCACCCATACACTACCCTGTCTTAAACTTAACTTGTCTTGTATTGGGATATAATGTACGAGGAGGTTTCTTCTCCTAATACATGGAGTATCAGTTAGTAAATTGTTGTACAACTTCTGGTGATATCTGGAGAACATGATGGTTGACATTCTCGTAATGCACGGAGTAACAATTCTTGTAAAATTTCTCTGGCAATCAGGAGAACACGATGCGTCTGGTGAAAGTATTGGTAGTATTTTAGAGGTCCAAACACTGAACCTTGTGGTACACCAATTGATCACATTAGCGCTTTTATCAAATTTCTAGTTGTAGGTAATGTAGACCGCGATGTTTGTTTGTAGGAACAGGAAGAGAAGCTGAAAAAGCACGAACCGCTTCACGAGCCGGGCCACAAGGCGCACATCGAAGAGGTCTGGGAGGAGCAGGATCACATGCAGCAGGATTTCGATCCGAAAACGTTCTTCATGATGCACGATCTTGACGGGAACGGCGCGTGGGACCAGAACGAGGTTAAGGCGTTGTTCGTGAAGGAGTTGAATAAAATGTACAAGAACGAAGTAGAGGGATACGACATGGTGGAGCGGGCGGAGGAGATGGAGAGAATGCGCGAGACCGTTTTCAAGCAGATGGATACCAATCGCGACGGTGTCATCGACTATCACGAGTTTCTCATGCAAACCCAAAGAGAGGAATACCAGCAGGATCACGGGTGGAAGGGACTGGACGAGCAAAAGCCTTACACGGACGAAGAGCTCGACGCGTACATTCGAGAGCAGCAGCGATTACATCCTCCTCCTTACTATCCGCCGCCGGCAGGTCAAGGTTACGTGCCTCCGCCACCAGGTGCTTACAACCCGAACGTTCCACCTCCACAAGGCGCCTACCCCAACAGCTATCAAGGGCAATATGAACAAGTATGATTTTGGCGACTGCGAAAGGACCAAACTAAGTTTGTTTACAGGTGCACCCGAACATGAACCAGGGCTATGCTCCACCGGTGCAGCAGAACGTGCCGCACCCGCAGCAAGCCGTTCCCCAACCCCCTGTTGCAAATCCGGCGCAACCGGCACCCGTCCAAGCTCAACCACCCGTTCCAAACCAGGCGCAAGCTCAACCCCCTGTACAAGTCCAAGGTCAACCCCCCGTTCAGAACCAGCCCCCTGTACAAGTCCAAGATCAGGCTGTCCCTCAACCACCCGTTCAACAAGCGCAGCCAGTCGCGGGTCAACCCAATTATCAACAACCCCCACAACCGAGACACTAGGACGATGAGAACTTTTAACTTAAATTAATTACAGGTTGTGCAATTGTTTGACGAGTGCATAATTAGACGTTGCAAATTTTTAACGGTTATTCGATTTCTACTTGTGCACTTCTATAATGGATAGGACTAAACTGTTTTTACATGAGATTTTATATGTACACTAAATAAAGGTCTACCTTACTGTGATTACAAATGGTCTCTCATTGCGCAAGGGAAATCACCAGTCAATTTCGGGGTTACGTATTCCAACAATCAAATTTAACCCCCCTTTTGTTCACTAACGGCGACGCAGTTAAATTTTTTATAACCCAGCGCGCTTAATGAATTTATCCTTGCCTGAACTGTATGTATTGTACAGTTGTAATAATAATAATAATAATAATAATAAACTACTCGAATTTATGCGATGAAAACGCGTGTATTCCCTTTATTTTTTTTATTAACGGCATCCTAGATTGTCACGTCGTGTCGTTTGTGATATTTAATGCAGGTAGTAGCAGTAGCAGTAACGTTGAATGCTTCCCTAGAACTATCGTAATATGGTCGTGTATATACCCTTGTAATAATGTAAGGGTAAAAACAATTGTTGATGGCGCAGAACGGTTAAAAATGATGGAAAATGAATAGAGGGTTGTTGCGATATCCTTATTTTTGATTTTGATGGTGCAATAAGTATAGAAAAGAAACTTTCCAGGGTGAAAAAAATTGATGAGGAAGCAGAAAGGTTAAAAATGATGGATAATGACTAGGGGGTTGATGCGATATGCTTGTTTTCTTGATTTGGAGAGTGCATAAGTAAAGAAAAGAAACTTTCCAGGGTGTTATAAATTGTTAAGGGCGCAGAAGGGTTAAAAGTGATGGAAAATCACTAGAATTGATGCGATATGCTTATTCTTAGTTTTGATGGTGCAATAAGTTAAGAAAAGAAACCTTCCAGGATGATATAAATTGTTGAGGACACAGAAGGATTAAAAATGATGGTAAAAAGACTAGAGGGTTGAAGCGAAGTGCTTTTTTTGATTTTTATCGTACAATAAGTAAACTAAAGAAAGTTCCAAGGGTGATATAAATTGTTGAGGGCGCAGAAGGGTTAAAAATGATGGAAAATGACTAGAGGGTTGATGCGATATGCTTATTCTTAATTTTGAGGGTGCAATAAGTAAAGAAAAGTTTCTTTCAAGCGTGAAAAAAATTGATGAGGCCACAGAAGGGTTAAAAATGATGGAAAATGACTAGGGGGTTGAAGCGAAAAATTTATTTTTGATTTTTATCGTGCAATAAGTAAAGAAAAGATACTTTCCAGGGTGATATAAATTGTTAAGGGCGCAGAAGGGTTAAGAACAGGGAAAAAAGGAAGGTTGTACACTGCCTCTTTTTGAGCCCCGAAAAAAAAATTGTCTCAGATCGACCGGAAAAAAACATTTTCTTATAGAATGTGGCCTGTAGAATCCATAATTTCCAACAGTCCCAAGATTGGGCTACTACTCGTATTTCAAAAGTTACAGCCTTTTGAATTTTCTTTCGAAATTGGTTTCTAATCTAAAACTTTTGATTGAGAAGTCTGATCGAAAAAGTACGAATTGATTTGGATTCTACGCACCAAAATTAATAAGAAAAGGTGTTTTCCCGAGAAATTTTGGATTGGTCGATTTTTGGAAAAAAAGGAAGGTTGTACACTGCCTTTTTTTGAGCCCCGAAAAAAAATTGTCTCAGATCGATCGAAAAAAAACATTTTCTTATAGAATGTGCCTTGTAGAATCCATAATTTCAAACAGTTCCAAGATTGGGCTACTAGTTCAAAAGTTACAGCCTTTTGAATTTTCTTTCGAAATTGGTTTCTAGTCTAAAACTTTTGATTGATAAGTCGGATCGAAAAAGTACGATTCGTTATGGATTCTACGCATCAAAATTAATAAGAAAAAGTGGTTTCCCGAGAAATTTTGGATTGGTCGATTTTTGGAAAAAAAGAAGGTTGTACACTGCCTTTTTTTGAGCCCCGAAAAAAAAATTGTCTCAGATCGATCGAAAAAAAACATTTTCTTATAGAATGTGCCTTGTAGAATCCATAATTTCAAACAGTTCCAAGATTGGGCTACTAGTTCAAAAGTTACAGCCTTTTGAATTTTCTTTCGAAATTGGTTTCTAGTCTATAACTTTTGATTGAGAAGTCTATCGAAAAAGTACGAATTGTTTTGGATTCTACGCACCAAAATTAATAAGAAAAGTGTTTTCCCGAGAAATTTTGGATTGGTCGATTTTTGGAAAAAAAGGAAGGTTGTACACTGCCTTTTTTTGAGCCCCGAAAAAAAATTGTCTCAGATCGACCGGAAAAAAACATTTTCTTATAGAATGTGGCCTGTAGAATCCATAATTTCCAACAGTCCCAAGATTGGGCTACTAATTCAAAAGTTACAGCCTTTTGAATTTTCTTTCGAAATTGGTTCTAGTCTAAAACTTTTGATTGAGAAGTCTGATCGAAAAAGTTCGAATTGATTTGGGTTCTACGCACCCAAATTAATAAGAAAAAGTGTTTTCCCGAGAAATTTTGGATTGGTCGAGTTTTGGAAAAAAAGAAGGTTGTACACTGCCTTTTTTTGAGCACCGAAAAAGAAATTGTCTCAGATCGATCGAAAAAAAACATTTTCTTATAGAATGTGGCCTGTAGAATCCATAATTTCCAACAGTCCCAAGATTGGGCTACTAATTCAAAAGTTACAGCCTTTTGAATTTTCTTTCGAAATTGGTTTCTAGTCTATAATTTTTGATTGAGAAGTCTAATCGAAAAAGTACGAATTGTTTTGGATTCTATGCACCAAAATTAATAAGCAGAAGTGTTTTCCCGAGAAATTTTGGATTGGTCGATTTTTAAAAAAAAAGGAAGGTTGTATACTGCCTTTTTTTGAGCCCCGAAAAAAAAATTGTCTCAGATCGTCCGGAAAAAAACATTTTCTTATGGAATGTGGCTTATAGAATCCATAATTTCAAACAGTCCCAAGATTGGGCTACTAATTCAAAAGTTACAGCCTTTTGAATTTTCTTTCGAAATTGGTTTCTAGTCTAAAACTTTTGATTGATAAGTCGGATCGAAAAAGTACGATTCGTTATGGATTCTACGCATCAAAATTAATAAGAAAAAGTGTTTTCCCGAGAAATTTTGGATTGGTCGATTTTTGGAAAAAAAGAAGGTTGTACACTGCCTTTTTTTGAGCCCCGAAAAAAAAATTGTCTCAGATCGATCGAAAAAAAACATTTTCTTATAGAATGTGCCTTGTAGAATCCATAATTTCAAACAGTTCCAAGATTGGGCTACTAGTTCAAAAGTTACAGCCTTTTGAATTTTCTTTCAAAATTGGTTTTTAGTCTATAACTTTTGATTGAGAAGTCTAATCGAAAAAGTACGAATTGTTTTGGATTCTATGCACCAAAATTAATAAGCAGAAGTGTTTTCCCGAGAAATTTTGGATTGGTCGATTTTTGGAAAAAAAGGAAGGTTGTACACTGCCTTTTTTTGAGCCCCGAAAAAAAATTGTCTCAGATCGACCGGAAAAAAACATTTTCTTATAGAATGTGGCCTGTAGAATCCATAATTTCCAACAGTCCCAAGATTGGGCTACTAATTCAAAAGTTACAGACTTTTGAATTTTCTTTCGAAATTGGTTTCTAGTCTATAACTTTTGATTGAGAAGTCTGATCGAAAAAGTACGATTCGTTTTGGATTCTACGCACTCCCCCCCCCGGAATGGCTTGGCGTCATGAACGACGATAGATTGGATCCCTTCTGAAAGAATGTCACGAGACTTTTTAGGGTTGAACGTGTCGAAGGAGAACGTACCATACGTAGATCTGGGTGGTGTGGAGGAAAGACCCTCAGTAAATGACGATTTTTGTCAGAAAGAACGTTTGAATCTTTCTTTCCTCCAAACTCGTTCAGCGTTCAGATGAACTTGCATCACTCGGATGACTGCCACAGCAGCGACGTTTGAGTAATTTATGGCAGCATCCAAGAAGGCATATCACCTAGTGGTAGTATTAGTGGTATTACGGGTGGAAAGGGGAGGTAATATGGAAACATAGGCATTTTTTTTGGAACCTCCAGCGTGGTCCAGTAGATATGGCCGTCAATCACCGAGTTCATTGACTGGTTCGTGCCGTAAAAGATCTGACCAACCCCTTTCGATTGGGGTGTTCCACGTAAATAATTGGCGACCGAGCAGCCGAAGGCGCGAGTAATGGTGCATAATTAATTAAAAGCTCCATTTAATCCTCGCCTAAAGAAAGCGTTGGTGTTTCACATCAGTTTACTGGACGCACGCGATACGTGCGGAGTAAAAAGCTGGGTACCGAAAAAACACCAAGTGCGCGCTTCTTTTCCAGCATTTAAATTGTTTCCATTAATTAATCACAATTAGTGTAAACGAGTGGCAATTATACAACTGCACCAAGCGATGTCGATATTGTTTTTCTGTGAAAGTTAATGACCCGCCTTTTGTTGCAACCATAAACAGTTTAATTCGCATCTTCAAAAAATAAATTGGAAGATGTAAGGAGAGGTCGGTCGTTAAAACAATTACCATTACTTGAATTCCGTCTCACTTAATAAGGATGAAGCGCGAGTTATTCTCCTATCTTTTACTAGGTAAGGCGCAAGAGGGGGTGGGCTAAATTGATTTTATTGTGAAAATTTCGCGGCCGCACCTGTTCCTTCAGGAATCTTACGGGGCGTGATTGAATAATTACCGTTAATTTGCTTAATGCACGCACTAGTCAATTTCTTAACCCCCCTCCACTTTTCAGCGATCCTAAATCATGGAGCGGCGATTAGAATTACGAGGCTCGTCGTTCCCACAGTCGCCTCCTTTGGTTCCCTGATTAATCTGGATTGCGCCTACGATTTGGAGAACGACAAGCTCTACGACGTAAAGTGGTACAAGGATAGCGACGAGTTCTTCCGCTGCAAATCGGACGGGCAGGTCCAAGCGTTTGAGGTGGAAGGCATCGACCTGTACAAGAACTACAAGGTGGCGGTCGGTTCCTGCCCGGTCACGATCACCATCCTCAACTCGAAGTCCGCCGGGAAGTATCTCTGCGAAATCAGCTCCGAGGCGCCCGAGTTCAAGACGGTGGCCCGATGGGTCAATTTGAGGATAGCGAGTCCTACGACGGCCCGAAGAACCCAGGAGGACGGTATGTTGAACTTGGCACGTCTCTCCGTTAGACACTTGCACTTTCAGATACTCCAACCCAAACTGAAAACCATCCGGAGATCACCCCGGCTCCTCCCGCGTCCGTCGAAGCGTCCGTTCAATTACGAGGTAAAGAAAGACCACGCACCTCCCTCGTGAATTAGCGAAATTTTGCAGGTCATGGAAATCGCCTTGGACCTAATTTTGTTTCCGCCGGCGTTTGCGTTTTCACTGCGTTTTGCGTGCTTAATTTGTAACTTTGTATACTTGTGATAGTGTAAATATGCTTCTATTTATTAAATTGTGTGTTGCATATTTTGTCACCGAGGCTGACAGCTAGAGGGCGTAGCAACCGTGAGCTCAATTCTGATTCACGTGTGCTGTTACTTTTATGATTTGAAACCGTAATCATTTTTGGTGTAAATGTTTGCTCAATTTACACTCAAACTTCACCATTCAATACCCAAGCTTTCAAATGGTTGCTAGTTTGGAGCTTGAAATTGGCGGATTGTTTTGTTCTGCTTAAAAACTTGAAGCCTCTGTCTTGTTCCAAAAAGGGCAGTGGAGGACAGGGGTACGCAAAAACACACAGGAAGACTAGCATAGAGCTAAAAGAGATCAGGAAACTCCAATAGATAACTCCAGGGAAGGAAGGGGAGAAGATATTTGAGCAAGGTATTAATAGAGAAGGACGGGGAAAGCAAGAATAGTAAGAGCGAGGAAACGGATGACTACAGAATAAAGTAGGAAAAATTGGTAATCCTATAGGGGGACAAGAATGGAACAGAACACGATCGGAAGCAAAAGCAGAGGACAAGAGAGAACACAATAGCAGTGAAGGGAGGACAGGAGAAAGAACATGTGAAGCAGAAGAGAACAGAAAGCATAGGGAAGAACATTCAAAAAAATTTTCTTGATGAGAATTACAGACCTGCGGAAATAGGAAATGGCAGCATAGAACAGAAAAAGAGCAAGGAGTAGAGAAAACAGATGTAGGCAGGGCAGATCGGGCTAGAGAGAGCCAGAGAGGAGATGAGGAAAAGTCAAATATACTACCGGGGGTCTGGAGGTTGTTAAATAGGTACTCTCCAACAGTACCCAATAAACTAGTACTCGATATTTCGTTCTTTATTATCTCAAGCACCCCACGGCCGGGGGGTATTGAAGACCCAACTGAACTGGAATACCCCTCAACAGTGCTAGTCCTCGATATTTCTTTCTATATTACCTCTAGCCCCCTGATGGTGGTTTCTGGCAAACAGTAATCGAATATTCGTATGCTGGGGGAAAGGGGGGGGGGCAGTATTCGGTGGTATAGAGGATGTGGTGAGGAAGAAATAAGGGAGTAAAAATAGGTCATCAGTCAGGTTTGCTGATTTATATATGATCATATTGTAACGTTATTTATAAATTCGGGTTCGATTTATATCAATATTTATTAAACAAAACTAAAACACTATAAAAACCGTACAATTTATATCGACTATTTATATCACACACTTCGCAATTTATATTTTCCGCACTCGATGTTTCATACGTACTCGATCTCGTTCGGTAGTAGTCTGACTGCGATGTTCGGTCCGCAACCATTTATATACGCAAGCAATGTAAGTCCAGAACACTCGCGTAATTACCGGAATATTCCTATACAAATCCCACTATCGCGCGCGTAGAAAATTCCAGAGCGCCAAAGCCGACGTCATGTCTGCAGCATTTCCGTTACACTGTCCCCTTCTTAATTCTGGACGTCTCGTTCAGAAACTGCGTTAGTATTACTTTTTAATGCCTCGTGTCGGAATCTGCAGTCAGAGCCTGCTCGACAAACACCTTTCTTGAAAAAGTAACAGTCCACAGTTTTGCGGAGGGTCGTCCCCTGTGGGTTGAAGCAGCATACTGTAATTCGAACGCTAGTGTTTCTAAAAATCACTTCGATCATGGTTCGCACTATCTTCCAGTCCAACCCATCTAAACCACATCCAATCTTCGGGATCGACAAGCTATTTATGTCATAGTATGCCATGAGTTTCTTTAAGCTTTTTAAAGCAGACCAGAGGTTTTCATAGGTGGGTTTGCCTTCTGACGTTTTCTTTGAAACCAAGTAGAACAAAGAGCGTTGACTATCTTCCAAGCGCAGTACTTTACCCACTCGTGGTCTTTGCTTTAACAACTCGTCCATTCTTCCAAATCTTTTCCGGAATACGGAAGCTATACCTCTACCCATGCGAAGGTCTTCGGCGACACAATGGGCGATGGAAACGTTAACCGGAAGCTATAAAATATTTTGACAAATTTCCTGAGTAACGCCAAATCGAGCTTTCTTCCGTTGGGCGTAATTTGACATAAAATCGTTTTAAAGTTTGGCTCGATCCCAAAGCTGCGTTCCTTTTCTCGAATACCTCTAACTTCTTCGTTGTTGTTGGATCCGGCATATCGTGCGAGTCGATTAATGTGGACAACTTTCAGTTTCCGGTGGTTCATTCTGATACGATATATCACGTCATTTATTTTCTTGATCACCTCATACGGACCTTCCCATTGTCTTTGTAGCTTGGGAGAAAGACCTCTTCGTCTCTGTGGATTGTGCAGCCATACCAGATCTCCAGCTTCAAAAGTTTCATTGGCCGAGCGGAGGTTGTATTGATTTTTCATGCGATCGCTGGCAATCTGAATATGACTTCTAGCCAAGTCGTGAATGTCATTCATCTTCGCCTTTAGTTGGTCAACATAATTTTCACCTGCGACATATTCTTCATGGGGTTTACGCCCAAACTCGAGATCACATGGAAGGCGTAGTTCACGCCCCAACATAAGGCAGGCAGGAGTCTGACCCGTGGTCTCGTTGACGGCTGATCGATATGCCATAAGGAACAGGTGGAGGTACTGGTCCCAATTTTTCTGATGTTCTGCCACGACTTTTGACAGATATTTACTCATCGTTGGATTCATTCTCTCAACCATTCCATCTGACTGAGGATGCAAAGGTGTTGTTCTTGTTTTATTGGCTCCTACCAATCGACAAACATCTTGGAACAAAGCCGATTCAAAGTTCCTTCCTTGGTCTGAATGGATTTCTATAGGAATACCAAAACGTGTAAAGAACTCCTTTACCAACACTTCTGCAACTGTTGCTGCCTCTTGGTTTGGAATAGCGTAAGCTTCAGTCCACTTTGTGAAATAATCCATAGCGACTAGGATATATTTATTTCCGCCATCTGTCTCTGGAAACGGTCCTGCGATATCGATAGCAACTTGTTCCATCGGACTACTAACGTTATACTGCCTCATGGGTGCCTTCTTCTTGGAAACTGGTCCGTTTCCAGTAGCACATAACTCACATTTTCGACACCATCGGCGGACATCTTCTTTACGGTTGACCCAATAGAATCGCTCACGTACCCTTTGCAACGTTTTCGTAATACCAAAGTGTCCTCCGGAAGCGCCGTCATGCAATTTTCGCAATACTTCCGACACTTTGCTTCTAGGTACTACTAATTGCAGCGTCGATTCGGTGCCATCTTCACTTTCAAGGGTCCTATACAATAGGTGGTCTTTCAGAGTCAGGCTATTCCATTGGCCCCAGTAACTCTTTACTTCAGGACTTGTGGCACTAATGTCTTGCCAGTCTGGTCTTTGTCCGTGGCGCATCCAATTCAGAACAGTTTTTATACTTGGGTCGTTTTCTTGGGCCGTTTTGATTTCGCTTGGCTTCCACTCCTCACTCTCTACAGTTGTTCGTCGCAGATGGCCAATCTTGTCTTCTATTTTAGAACAATGTGTGCAGTTGTCCTTGCACGGTCTTCTTGACAAAGCGTCTGCATTATTGTGAACTTTTCCAGTCCTGTGTTCAATGTCGTAGTCATATTCCTGAAGACGTTCTAACCATCTTTCCACCTGTCCTTCTGGGTTTCGGAACTGCACGAGCCACTTTAGCGCTGCATGATCTGTCCTTATCAGGAACTTGCGGCCGTAAAGGTACTTATGGAAATGTTCGCATGCAACACAATAATTCCTCTTGGGTTTCGACAGTACTTTGCTGAAATAGGCAATGACTCTTTCCTGTCCGTCTTGCAATTGAGAGAGAACAGCTCCAATGGCGGTGTTACTGGCATCGGTATCTAGCACAAACTTCCTTCATTTCTGGGGTAGCCAAGGATAGGTGCGCTAGTAAGAGCTTGCCGGAGATGTTCGAAAGCTCTTTGACAGTCTTCACTCCATTCGTACTCATTGCCCTCTTCTGTCAACTTTATTAATGGTTTGGCAATGTTGGCAAATCCTTTCACGAATCGTCTATAATAAGTGCACAAACCGAGGAAACTTCGAATCTCGTGCTTGTTCTCAGGAATCGGCCACTCTTGAATCGCTATAATCTTCTCTGGGTCAGCTGTAACACCATCACGAGATACGATGTGCCCCAAATATTTAACTTCTTTTTGGAACATAAAGCATTTCTTGGGACTTAGTTTTAAATTGGCCTCTCGTAATCGTTCAAACACCTCTCTTAGGTTCTTTAGGTGTTCTTCAAAAGTTTTTCCTACGACAATTACATCATCCAAATATACCAGACATGTCTGCCACGTTAGTCCCCTTAGAACTGCTTCCATAAGTCTCTCAAACGTCGCTGGGGCATTACACAATCCGAAAGGCATTACTGTGAATTGCCAAAGTCCAAAGCCTATAGAAAACGCGGTCTTCTCTCGGTCTGTCGATTCCATCCCCACTTGCCAATAACCACTCTTTAGGTCGAGTGTGGAAAACCATTGGGCTCCAGATAGAGTGTCCAAGGTGTCGTCTATTCTCGGCAGTGGATAGCTATCTTTCTTGGTGATCGAATTTAATAGACGGTAGTCAACGCAAAATCTCTTCGATGGTTCTTACCCGGCTCTCACTGCGAGGTTCCACCATACGTACTCGCGCACTTCCATGACTAGCTTTCTTGGCGGCTTCGAATTCTAACGCATGGGCCAAAGCTTCCTCAATTTTGTCGTGCCTAGCCAGTCTCAAAGCCTGCTGGGCATCTCCATCACGAACGGCATCGATAAATGTTTGTACAGCCAGTTGATCAAGAAAGCTCTCCGGTGGCGTAGGGTATGCCAATCGAATCAGTCTAGCGATGTCCGCTTCAAGTTCCTGCAAACTTTCTCCAGGTTTCTGCATTCGGTTCTTGACTTCGGCATAGTAAACTTGCTGAAGGTGTTTATCGCCATATCGCATTTCGAGTCGCGCTACTATTTGTTGGAAGTTCTGTTGATCCTCGGGGATGGTCCGCAACACATCCAGAGCATCTCCTCTCAGAGCAAGAATCAGGGCTGTAG